TAAACACCATTATAGAAAATTCAAGCAAATCGCAAATGAACTATACAAATTGTTCAACACCAATCTAGAAAACTCAATAAAATTGTAGCAAATCACAAATTATCCATAAGTAACATGATTAATTGAAAGCTTCTTCCTTTCAATTAAGTTTCTTCACTCTCCACTCGATGACATCAACTTCATTCTACACAACTAGAAAAAAAAATTAGACATGTCTCCACAAACTAAGATTAGTTGTTTAGAATATTAGATATACGAGAAAATTAACTATATGAGTGTGGGTGGGTACCCATGGGTCGGGTTTACCTAAACCCAAACCCAACCCGGTGAATAGTGAACGAGTTTAAACCCAAACCGGGCCAAAACCCGTCAACACGGATTTTACCCGCGTTGACCGGGTTGGGTCGGGTGGGTACCCGTGGGTTTGGGTTTTGTTGCCATCCCTAGTCTCAAATGATGTGAATGAGAGTGGAGGAGAGCCTCCTAAGGCAAACCCCACCATCACTTGTGTTGTTTCTAATGATGTTGAGTAGGAAGTTAAGAAGGGTCCTAAGCCAAAAGGACCAAGATTGAATGCTTTGAGAAGAAGGATGAAGGGAGCTTTGACCTAGAAGACGGGGAAGCCCGGAGCAAGATTGGAAAAGCAAGAGGGCAAACTCAATGAGCCTAATATGGGAGACTACAAGCCTCGCCCCGAGAGTGTGGTGGATCTGCTCTCGATGGCATCACGTTTGAAGTCGTGATTGATCCCCAACCGTCAACCTAATGATGATAAACAAGGGCTTGTTGGGAGGCAACCCAACGGAGGTTTGTTTTCTTATCCTTAGTTTTTGTTTTAGTGTCTTGTGAGGGGTTCGAGTGGTGAAGTGATGTCTCCGTGCCGAGTGTTGTGTTTTTGTGGTTTATGGTTGTGTTGTGATCGATTAGGAGGCACGGAGGAATAGGTTGAGTCAAGTTTTTTGCAGAAGTGCCTTGTTTCCACTTGAGTTCACGGACGGATTGCTGAGTTCACGGTCGCTAAGCCCGTAAACAGGCAAACGCGTCCGTGAACTGGGCGCTGATGCATGTTCACCACCTGTCAACCACTCCGTGTTCACGGACGCATTCGCGAGTTCACGGTCTCTAAGACCTTGAATTGGGCAACGCGTCCGTGAACTCAGACCTATAAAAGGGGCGTGAATGGAGACCCTTCACTTCACAACCAAAAACTCACCAGAAAATTTTGAATCTTCACCGGAAAACGAGAAATCCCATATCTTTTTCGATTTTTCCCCCAAATCTGGCGAGCAAAACCAAAAATCAACGTCATACCCAGTCCCCTCTCCTCAAAACCGTTCTGTGCTGTTAATTTGGGGAGATTTGGACCACATTTTTCCGACCAAGTCGCCGGCGAGCTTCTGACGAAGCTTCGGCGACCCTTCTCGGTCAGTTTTCCGACCAGTATTTCACCGTCCTCGCCCGCACCTCACTTCCTCCCTTGTTCTACTTGAGTCTCCAGGTTTGTTTTTCATCTTTATCTTTGTGAATTGTGAAGAATCGGATTTGATAGTGAATTGAGGTTGAATTTTTGTGCTTGGCATGATTGAATCTAGTTAGGGCGAGGACTTAGGTGAATTAGGTCGTGTGATTGATGGATTGATTATTGCATGAGCTTAGTGAGCCTTGGTGGGCGTGCTTGAACCGAATTGTGATTATTTATAGAATTTTCCCACCAAGTGCTATGTTATGAATGCAAGTGGAGTTTTTTTTTTTATTGGTGGATGGTAGCCACCGTGGTAGGGGTTGTGGCTCTAATTTTTGTGTGCTTGAATCGTGAAATACCCACAACCATGCCACTGTGGTTTGAGCTTAAATGTTTTAGCCATGGTGGAATAACAAGTGTTGGGGGGGGGGATTCTTTTTCCTCCCAATGAGCGGTATATGACGGATGTTTCCATGTATGGTGTGTGTTTGTGTTTGTGCAGGATGGTCAACATGGATCACCCTTATCTTGTGGCACTAAGAAGCAGCCCCGAAATGGAGCAAGAGGCGCTGTTCTGGGCATCCTCAAGAGTTGGTTACCATTGGAAACTCGACTTCGCCCAGTTCGATAGGCTTCATTGCGGTGACGCTATGAGAGAGGCAGTGGTGCACCCCCAATGGCGCCAAGCACTTGATCTTGAAGATGACACTTATGGGGAGCTTTGCGTCGAGTTTTTCAGCACCTTCGCCATACGCAAGAGCCTATGCCTATTCAGTTATCTCGTACGCGGGGTCGAGTTTCGATTGGGAGGGGAACCTCATGACGTGAGCTATGACGAGTTAGCCAGAGCCCTCGGAGTGGAAGTCAACCGTAGCGACGAGTGGGAGGAAGACGCCATTCAAAGTTTTGACGCGAATGTCGCGTTTCTGAAGATGTGTCTTCCAAAGTACCGAAGGAAGAAAATCAAGTCCGCCCTCACAACGACATCCACACTCCACCCTCAGTGGCGTGTCATCGTTGCACTCCTGGCTCGTTCACTATACCAGGATTACCACAATCCAAACAAGATTACCGAGAGAATCTTATTGGCGTGTGCTTGCATGGCGGACTGGTCAAGCACGTTGCACCTGGATTCATTCATAGCCACATCTTTTGCCAGGGCCAAATGGGGGACCCATCGTTACGTCACATCCATGGTTCCGTACATTTTTCATCGCCTGCTTTTGCACCCGGCCGCCGCTGGCGTCCAGCGCTCCCCGCGCCCTGCACAGTAGCCACCACCACCAAGAGTAGGCGATCCCCTCGTCACGAGGGCGGATCGCCTTGAGACGGGCTTCTTGGGATTCTCATCCCGCCTCGAGCGACAGTCCAACATCCTCGAGCGCAGGGCTCGACATCAGGGTATCCTACCCGATGATGGAGAGGGTCCATCCACCAGAGAGAGGTAGCCGACGAGAGAGACATGTGGCAAAGCAGAGTCCATTCGCCCCACTTCTCTACTTGTAACCTAAACTTGTTTTATTTTTGTTTTTGTTATTTGTGTGTGTGTGACATGAACTACTACTACTATGTATTGTGCTTGTAATAACCTCGCCTTGAGCGAGTCGTATTGTGCTTGTGTGTGTGTTTTGTTGTTTCCCCTTGAAGCTTCAATTATCCTACCCCTGATAGATTCCTACATTCACTCACCAAGCCCAAGCGGTAACATCTCTTTACCCCTTTCTTACGCCATTAAGGGCAATGTCGAGTTTAAGTGTGGGGGGTAGTCTACTAGTGTACTTGTGTGAGTGAGATGTTGCTTGGAGCCTTTTGTATGCCCAAATTTCAAAAATTTGAGGGCTCCAAGCAACGTTTGCATGTTCAAAGTGACCATATGGTGGGAAATTCTCGTGTTTGTGGCATTAATCTTGAACTATGCATGTGATTGAGTATATCTTATGATGATGACTGAGAAGTTCATTAGGATAGGGCAAGAGTTAAGTTCTCAAAGTGTGCATAAATGAATGAAGGTATTGACTTGATCACTTGTTGTTTACAATTTCCATGCATCGTGTTTGTGAATTAGAATAGATGGTTGGGTAATTAGGTAGCCTATGAGCTTTGAGCCGTTCGTTTCTTTCGGTGTGATAGTTCCTTCTTACCACGGTGTGTAGCATCAGAAGTTATCACTAGAAAGTATGATGGAGGCATAGGATTAGTCCACGCCCCAAAAGTTGATTGTCCCGAGATGCATCATCCCTTAGTCAACCACTTTGAGCCGTGTGACTCCATGGGCCGTTCTCAGTTTAGGAGCTTCGTTCGTGTGAGCTTAAAGGTGTCAGTAGAACGACCCCCAAATCCTTTCTTCGTGTCCAAACATGAGTCGCCCGTGTGTCCCGGAGCTCTTATGTGTGGTTCTTGCTAGGAGTGAAAAATTGAGTGTAATGTTGGATTTAGTTCCTCAAAAAGAGAGCATTGGTCGATAAATGTTTAGGTGGCAAGTGTTTTTACTCTCTAATACCCCGCTCAAAAAGAAAAGAAAAAATAGAGAAACGAAAAAGAGGTAATAAAATGTGGTAAATAAAGAAGAGAGTGCCACGAAAAACCAAATTACATGCTCTAGGAAGGGGTTTCTTGGCACCCAAGCCATCGAAACCCCTACATTGTTTAGAACTCCTTCACTACGAAACCTTAAAGAACTAGCAAGAGTTGACCGAGGAAGAGTGCTTTAAGGTAGTTCATGATTGGTGATAGTTGGAAGGGAGAGATAAGGGTTTTGGCCGATGCTAGTGGCCTTTGATTGAGAGAAGGGTTTTAGTCAAAACCATAGACCCTTCGGGTTTAGTTTGAAGATGTAGAACCTCATGTCATGATTGCCACCACCTAAAAAGCCTTTTCCCCATGTCCAAGCCAATGGCCAGTCATCTGAACCCGTGTCTAAGACCTCCGGACGAGCTAGTGGTGACAACTATGCCGTGAACTCTAGCATTTAGAGGTTACCGTTGTGGTATTGAGACGATAGGGGTGAGAGGTTACGATTGTGCACATCTTTTGCACCAAAAAGGTCCCGACCCCACAAGTCTTGAGAGTGCCCAAGGTGAGCCCTAAATGACTGAGGTTGGGAGCGGAAATTGAACATCCCCGAAAGTAATATTTTGGATGGAGATGAGGAAGTGACTTATTGTCACTACAACAAAAAGTGGTTTTTGCAACAAAAAATGTTGCAGCCAAAGTTATTTTGGTTGTGAAAGAAGCAGTAATGGTGACCAATTTTTTTTGGATGTGAAAAGATAAAAATATTGGTAGCCAATTATAAACAATGATTTGATAACCAAATAAATTCTGAGGAGATCAAAAAATTTGGTAGCAAAATGATTTTGACTTTTTTCAACCAAATTTATTTGGTTACGAATATTAAAAAAACTATGATAACTAAATAATTTGGTTGAAAAGATTATAAATGTTTTCACAACCAAAATTTTAGTTGTAATTTTACATTTTTGAAAACAACTAATAATTTTGGTCACCTATATACAAATACTTAAATTTTAGTAACACGTAAACATATAAATAGAATGAAAGATTTTTGTCCATAAAGTTGGGGTACTATATATTATAACAGGTAAAATTTGGCAGGTTTTTATGCATTGTTACATTTTTTACTGGATCATACTGAAATTGTCCCCCGATAAAGAAAGAAAGAGGAAACTGAGTGAACAAAGCAACGCCACTTCATCCTCAAACTCTATTTTCTATCAATAAGGTCAGATTTCAAGTTTTGAATCATCGATCATCAGTTCCTCCACAGCTCCACTAGATCAGATTTCGATTTTTGGATCCTCCGGTTCTCTTCTTACATTCAATTTCATTTTTCCTTCTTTGTCGAAGAAGTTTGCGAAGTTCGCATCTCCGCTGCTCCTCCGCTGCAGCAACTTGATTCTTTCATGGTAAGCTCATTCCGATTTTTCAAATCAGATGCTGAATCCAATCTATGGCTGCTGCTTCCTCTACTTTGACCCGATCCTTTTCTGTTTGGTAGCTGAGAAGGTCGTCATCTTGATTCCCGGCGAATACGCCAACATGGAGCACGAGGTCGTCGTCGTCGAGAGAACACGGAAGGCGAATACGCCGTCCTGGAGCACGAGGTCGTCCTTGACGTCGTCGAATTCTCTTTTTTTCAAATGCTCTGTCACTTTCCATCGATAACCTCGCAGCGGCTCTCCAATCCCTAGCCATGGCGTCCAATCCCTCGCCAGCGCCGTTGATTAACCTTAATCTGCAATTGAGTGAGTTCAAGTTTCAGTCCTTACTCATTTTGAGTGAATCCATGAGGCACTCGCTTCATCTTTTCCTGTTTCCAGTTTGCAGCTACTTTGCCCTAAAATCCTTCTCACTTTTCAATTCAATTAGATAACAAACAGCTCCGGCATTGCCCGCTCAATTGATCCTCTCACCCGCCGTCGCCGTCGCCTCCTTGCATGATCGCTTGCCGGTCACCTTTGAGCTAGTCAGGGCGGGAATAAAATGTCATCGGCGATTTCCAATTTCACACCTGTACTCGAGGCGGGATCTCGGTCACTCCTGCGGATATGAATCCTGGTCTGAATTGAGGAGCTTTCGTCTCTCAAATACTCCTTTCTGGCCACTCAGATGCTTCATTTGTTGGATTGTGAGTCTTGTTCTTTTTTTTTTTTTTTTATATATATATATATATAGGATGAGTCTTGTTCTTAACCATATAGGATTTGTCAACCACACTCTAAAAAACAGTGTTGGGATACACATAGTTTAGGGTGGGTTGTATATAGCCCCCAACATATCTGATTCTACTTTATAAGATGTGGATTATATAGGCTATCAACCCCTTCCTCATTCAAGATCCAAGTTTAATTCCAATAAACTATCGTGATTTTGGTTTCCCATGTCTCAGCCCCACTACTGTTAAGGAGTTGTTCTTTGCTGAGACAACCATGTACTACATGAGCAAGGGGAAGCTCACTGTTCATTGTTGTGTCATTATGAATTCAGATGGACCTGGTAAGTATTTGGGGTAAGTAATTGGTTCTTTTGTTAATGAATTTGGTTTTCCATGGTCAATAGGTTTACATGCATCTGCTACCATCAAAGAGATTATATGGTGTTAAGAGGGATCCATACATATGCCCTTGATACTGAGGATCCAGCTTATCGACAGATTTTTATTATTCTTATCTTGCATCATTGGCCACCAACTTAATTGCTGAACAACTAGAATTAACTTTTCCTCTACTTAATTGGTTCCAACCTAGATAGCTAGCTAGCCAGGATAGGTTATTTCTGCGTTAGTCTTCCTGATTGAAATTCAGTGTCTTTGGTCTAGTTTGGTTTGATTCGGCTAATTCATCGATCTTTCCTTCTGATTTATGCTGAATGCGTGGACTAGAATTTCCTGTGTAAGATCTCTTGTTATCGATTGAGATTTTATGCCTGTCTTTAACAAGCTTGGGGTTTTGCTTGTTTTGCTGTTTCTCCCCAAACCTTCAGCAGAGTGAGCCAAATTACCGATGCGGTGAGACTGGGCATCGTATCCCGTTGAAATGTATGGAGATCAAAGATGGTGTCAAGCTTGAAAAACAGGAAAAGTCTAAAAAGAATCGATCTGATCTGGAAACGTCTGCTGGTAGTGGAAATCAGCAGGCTTCTTCCATTGCAGGTAAAAATTTAGCCGAGGACTCTAAGAAACTAGATGGTGGCGGTGGATCACAGGCTTACATTACTTACAGAAGTTACTGCCTGCTGATGAAGAGAAGGTTTCAGTGCCTGGTTTTGAGGTATGTGAATTTCCTTTCCGGGGCTATATACCGCCTGCAATGGCATATGTGGTCATTGCAGGAATTTGAAGATTGAACAATGACATTTTATAGCTAAAATAAAAATGGATGCAAGGAATCGGATTCTATGCTCTTGAGATGGGATTTGTGAATTAGTTGTATGATGTAATCCTTAGACAGCAAGTCGTTTGCTGTTCTCTTTCTCTTGGAATTGCTTATCAATATGAAATGCTTATTATTATTGTTATTATTATTGAGGTTACTGTTTTTTGGAAGGTAGTGTGAGATGTTTCTGCACTTTCTTGAATCACCAAACATGATGAGGAGGAAAGTGACGAGGACTCTGATCTTGATTTGTCCTGGAAAATGTTGGATCTTGCCAGGGCAATTGTTGAGAAGTCTTCTAGCTGAAGTTGCCTTAGAGAGAGGTTAGTTGGCCTTCTTTTTCATGCGGATCAATGGCTTTTTCATTGGTTTGAGATTAGGAAAGTGGCGAGAAGGATTTGGGGGAGTTGGGTACCACGTAGCTCATGTAGCAGGTTTGCCTAGTATAACTATAACCAAATTGTTATATTTATGTTAGAGTGAACCAATGCAAGAACACTTCCAAACTTCCAATAGCAGAAGCGGAGAGTTCACAACCAAAGTCCATGAGGTATTATCTGCTAGTGCTTTTCTCTGCTTTTGAAGATGCTGGATTGGATGACAACAAGGTATTGTTTTTCATTTCAGGGAAAGATACCCATTTCATATGATTGGGTTAGAAAACATAATTAAAAAAAGAATAATGTTGTCATTATAACTTTCCTACCACTAATGAAATATCCTTGGTTTAGAGTTCTGCCCATTCAAGTTCTGCATGGCATATGTGATCCACAGAGATCTTAAATCATCAAATCATTTATGTGTGTGTGTCTCCAGTGCAACATTCTATTGTCATGAAAAGGATTCTCAGGCAGTAGTCACCCTAAGTTAGCTTCTTAGACCTTATGTTAGTAGAATGCTATTGTATTCATGTGTAAGTCATTGTAATCCTGTCGGTGGACATTAGACACGGGAGCCTACTGATTTTGGTTTATTTGTGTATCTGTTTGCAGTAAAAGCAATAGCATCTAAGAGGAGCTTCATGATTTAATGGTGAATATGAACTGAGATGATTTAACTTATTAGTATCAGTAGCAACATCTCTGCATATGGAGGTAAAAGGTGATTAATGGTGCCTCTGCTTTCCCAATTCCAATCCTGTCTTCAATTTTTATCCTTGGAAGTCTTTATTTTATTGAGCATGATGGGAATCATTATTATTGTTCGGTCACAGAACCAAACATTTAATGGTGCTCATGAACTAAGATGATCTATAAGAAGGATTTCAACTGTTTAGTTTTGTCATCTGCAGGAGAATGTCTTGATGGTGAACAATTGAATGATGGACTATTGGCAACTATAACAGGATACATTTTGTAGTGTTTTCATTTTGTTCATCTTAAGTTAGTTATAGATGCAATTGTATGAGATAGTGAGGTCATTCTTAGATCTTAGTTATGACATTGTGTAATTGTGATTTTTGTTGCTAGACAATTTTTTATATACGAGATATGACATATACAATTTTTTACTATAATTCAATTTAATTTTCATAATGGTGTATTTTAATGACCAAAATCTCATGAACAAAATTGGTCATATTAATTATTTATTTGGTCGCCTTATGTGTTTTCCACAACCAATTTTTATGGTTGTGCAACACTTTCCTAATGAAAATAATTAGTTTCAAAAAATGATATAATTGGTTGGCATATGTATTTTTTACGACCAAAATTTTAAGGTTGACTTAAAATTTCTTAACTAAAACAATTGGTTGCCAAAATGGTTTAATTGGTTGATGTACTTGTTTTTCACGATCAAATTCAAATCTCATGGTTGTTCTACATTTTTATAACAAAAATATTTAGTTGCTTAAAATGATATGATTGGTCGGCATATATATCTTTAACAACCAAATTTTATAGTTGTATTAAACTTTTTATAACCAACAACATTGGTCGTCATAATGATATTACTGGTCACTAATAGTCGCATAAAATGGTTGTAATTAGTTTTTATGGAGACCAAGCACCTACATTTCTCAACCAATAGTATGGACTATAACAATTAATTTTAAATGGTCACGAAAAATTAAGATTTTTAGCATTGGCAAGATTGGTTGTGGTTGCTAGATTTTTAGCTACCAATCAATATTTTGGTTGCATTAGGAATTAGTAACGCGGATATAGCGACCATTTCTGCTACCAAATTTCTTTGATTACGAAAAGGTATTGATAACCAATTTTAGGCTTTTAGGGACCCCAATTTTAGGCTTTTAGGGACCAAAAAGCATTTTTTCTTGTAGTGTGTCCACATGCACAGATCTTAGTAAAAGGTTGAAAGATGCGAATGAGGAATGTCCATTTTGGGGACTACGAGAAGCATAAGAGCACATTATGAGGGATTGAGAATGGGCGAGTCGAATTTCGAGGAAAAGTCAGTTACGAGCCTGTTTGAAATGGGAAAAGAGAAAATGAGAGAAGATTGGTTATGTAAGGTGTTCGAAATGGCAAAGATGACGATTTAAGTCGATTCCCAATTGCACTATGGGCTAGAAAGAACGTAATGACCATTTGTTCAATAACCCGAAACTCGAAGAATGTTAAGTGATGGAAAGTGTTGATTAGGCTCTTTGTATGTGTATGTAAATACGTAGTAGTGTAGTGTTAAATGGGTCAATTATCATTAAGGCCTTATACGGCCCATGCAACCCACGTGATTTCCATGTAGAGACGTGAGGTTAGGGTTCAACTGGGTGTAGGGTATTAGAGAGTAGCAGATGTATCGAGAACGGGTTACACAAAATCTGCAGTAAGATCGGTAGCTGAAGGGTGTTCAAGCTCTTCCGTGGATTAGTCCTGGAATTTCAGAGATACCACGTAAATGCGTGTCTGTTTCTGTTTTTATCTTTGATCGTTCAACATGGTATCAAAGCCTCCAACAATTGAATCTGATCGCCCATCCATTCGTCTGAATTGGACAAACTATGCTCTATGGGAATTCCAGTTCTGCGTTTTTGTAGAAGGGAGAAGTTTATTGGGCATACTCGATGGGACACAGCCCGAACCAGAGGGTACCGCAGCTACACCACAAGTCGTTGCTACCTGGAATCAGAATGATGCTTGCGTTCGTTTTGGCTCCTTGGATCTGTGGATCCGTCCACCTGTCTCAGTCTCCGTCTGTATCCGACCGCAAATCGTATGTGGCGCAATCTCTCCGTTATGTACTCTACCGTCAATGCTGCCCGTCAATTCGAGATTCAGCTCGCTTTGACTCGTCTGGAACAGGAGATTGCACGTTCTCCGAATATTTTAATGCTGCTCAGGAACTCTGGACGAAGCAAGATCTCCTCCATGCTGCACTACGTCCCCGAGCTGTCCTCACTGAAGACGCCATCGCCGAGAGGATGCAAACTAGGCTGTTGAACTTCTTGATGAAGCTCCCAGAATTTGACTCCGTCCGCGCTACCTTGCTGAACCGGGATATTCTCCAATTTGATGGGGGTACTTGGTACTCTTGTGCGAGAAGAAACTCGGTTGCGAACGCAAGTCGATATTGACCTACGCCCAAGTGAGGCGGAATCCATTATTGCAGTGGCTGCCGCACAAAACTCTCTAGGGTCAGGCCGTGAGAATTCAGCATACGCAGTTGACCGTCCGCAATTTCAACGAAGGATCTCTACTACGGACTTGGAATGCCATCATTGTCGAGAAAAGGGACATCTACAAAAACATTGTCATAGAAGAAACTTTTGCGTATACTGTAAGAGAATGGGACACATCATTCTCAATTGCCGAACTCGGGAAAGAAACGAAGCTCGTGAAGGAGGTGGTCCGCCTAGGGGCAATGGTTCATATCCACCTCGTCAAGGGTATGGTGAACGTTCGGGTCGGTCCGCCTATAGTGCATTTCTGGATGAAGAAGGGGCTCGTTGAAGGACAAGTGCCCCGCGTGATCACTGGAGGCTGAGTGCTCCTCATCATGGAACTGCGCACGGAGAAGCCAGTAGCAGCAGTGGAAATCACAATGGACAACGTGCTGACCCTGTTGGAAATGCCGTTGGTGGAGGTGTCACAATGGCAGCAGTGGAGCAGCTTGTAAATTCTGCAATTAATGCAGCCTTTTCAACCCTCAATGTTACGGGTAAGACTCGATCGCCTTGGCTTCTAGACTCTACTTGTTATAATCACATGACCCGTGATTCTAATGATTTAAAAAATGTGTCTCCGGTGGTAAACATGGATTTAATGGTTGCTAATGGGAGTAAATTGAAAGTCAATGGAGTGGGTGATGTAGAGACCGAAGGGTTGATATTGCAAGATACTTTACATGTCCCAGATCTTGTTCCTAATTTAGTTTCGGTTGGGAAACTTACTGAGCAAGGTTGTACTGTGTCGTTTGCTCCGTCTGGTTGTCTTCTACATGATTCAATGATGGGGAGGCTGATCAGAAGGGGGAGTAAACAAGGTCGGCTGTTTCATCTCGAGGAATTACATGTGAATTCTGCCTCTCCTGTCGTTAGTCATACATCCAATAGGTCTGTCAGTAGTCCTGTGCCGTCTAGTTCTTGTTTAGCAGTTTCTAGTTCGTCTAATAAATTGTGGGATTTATGGCATGCCCGACTGGGGCATCCCCACTCACTGCGTCTTTCTGTGATATTCAAAAAACTCTTGCTGGGTACAAACAATGTTCGCATTCCTGAATTTCATTCCTGTACTAGCTGTGTTGTAGCAAAAACTACCAGTATTTCTTATCCTCCTAGTACTACTGTTATTCATGAACCTTTCCATGTGATTCATACTGATCTTTGGGGCCCTGCCCCTACTGTTTCTAGCAATGGCTTTCGATACTTTGCCCTCTTTATTGACCATGCTACCCGATACACCTGGATTTACTTGCTTCGGTTGAAATCTTATCTCTGTGCTGTAGCTATTGAGTTTCTGAACATGATTCAAACACAATTTGGTAAACCAGTCTAGATCATTCGTTCTGATCCGGGGGGAGAATTTAGTTCTTTTCCTTTGGGCGAAGTATATCGTTCTTATGGTATTTTATGTCAAAAATCTTGTCCTGTAGTGTCTCAGCAAAATGGCCTAGTAGAACGTAAAAATCGTCATGTAGTTGAGCTAAGTAGGGCTCTAATATTGGCTTCCTCTGTCCCTTCTAGGTTCTGGCCTGAAGCCGTAGTCACAGCAGTTCGTCTGATAAATTATCAAATTACTCCGGTCCTTGGGAATGAGAGTCCATTTTTTAAATTGTTTTCTCGATATCCTGATTACTCTTGTCTCCGTGTATTCGGTTGTTTGTGTTTTGTTCTTTTTCTCAAGCGAGAGCGTAAGAAATTGACCTCTAAAACTTCTAAGTGTGCTTTCATGGGTTATAGTGATGTTCATAAAGGCTACGTGTGCTATGATCTCGTTTCTCAACGTATATGTGTAGCTAGTACTGTAGTCTTTTTTTGAGCATATGCACTTCTTTGAACCTGAGTCTTCTTCCGAGTGTGTGTTTCCCTTGTCCGGTGTCTTGCCCATGTTCACTGATGATGAGATGACAGCTGATGATGATGATTTTCCCGATCTTCCTCCTACTGATCAGGCCTCTCTGTGACCTTCACCAGCATATACCTCCTCGGCTGATCATGATTCTCCAGTACATACCTCCTCGGCTGGTCATGATTCTTCTCCCAGTACGTTCGCATCCTCTCACAGCAGCAGCGGAACCTTCCCGCCTAATTTATCTATGCCATTTGTTGTGCCACCTAGGAGATCCTTCCGTTCCACTAAAGGAATCCCACCGCCAAGCTTTGAAGACTATGTAGCTCATGGTGTGGACATTTTGGTTGTACCTACACACTACAAGGATGCAAAAGGTGATCCAAGGTGGGAGGAGGCGATGGGGAGTGAATTTGATGCACTCCATGCTAATAATACTTGGACGGTTATTGATCGTCCTGCTCCGGACACACCTACTGTCGGTAGTAGATGGGTATATACTATCAAGATGAATCCGGATGGCACAGTTGAACGATTCCGCGCACGAGTGGTAGCATTGGGATATATTCAGGAACATGGGGTGGATTATAATGAGATGTTCGCGCCAGTGGCCCGTATGTCTACTGTTCGCACACTTCTGGTTGTAGCATCGATGAAGAATTGGTCTCTATCTCAACTTGATGTGAAGAACGCTTTTCTGCATGGTGATCTAGATGAGGTGATTTACATGGAAAACCTCCAGGTTATAATGTTGGAACTCCGGGACAGGTATGCAGGCTTCATCGATCTTTGTATGTATTGAAACAAGCACCTGGGCATGGTTCGAGAAATTTTAGGGAACTCTGGTAGGCTTTGGATACTGTCAAAGTCTTAAAGATCCTTCGCTTTTCATCAAGACATCATCCTGTGGCATTGTTCTCCTCTTACTGTATGTGGATGATATGATTATCATAGGATCTGACTTGGATGGAATTAAACAACTTAAAGATGGATTGTAGGCTGCTTTCCGTATTAAAGACTTAGGTGAGCTATCATATTTTCTGGGATTAGAAGTCTGCCATTCCAAAGCAGGTATATTTTTAAGTCAAAGGAAGTATATTTCTGATTTGTTGGGGGATTACAACATGGAAGAGTTTGTCCCTATAAATACTCCAATGGAACAAAATCTAAAATTGAGCAGGGAGCCGGGAGAGAAAG